CCATTTATCATTCATTTTGGTTATATAAAAGTTGCCTTAGAAAAAACAAAGAGTTGTTTGTTATAATATTTGATATGTTGTTGTGTATAAACAAGCCATTTGGACCTTTGTGTTGGTTTCGATTGACATTTACTTATTCATAAGATGTAATAGATAAATAAGTATGTTTTCATTTGTTGATTTGTTGTAATAAATTAGTTAGACTAGTTGTATTTATTTTAATTATAAAAAGATGAAGAAATTACCACTTTGAAGATGACTTAACTACTTAATACCCTAATCCCAACCATGAGTTTCTACTCTTGGTTTTGGGCTTAGTTATAGTCTTAATGGTTTAAGTGTTCCAACCTTCACAACATGAAGACTTGAAGACCTTTCGCAAGCAAGAGTTATTTTGGAAAGTGGGAGCTTGAAAACCTTTTGAAGTGCCCTTAAGTCCTTTAGGAAAAACTTAATAATTCTTATGATGGGTAACAAAAATTATTACTAGACATGGCTTGGTTTATACACATTATAATGCATGCTTGTGATGTTTATTTTATGTTAAATGCATGTTATGTTTTATGTATAAAAATTGTTTTTACATGTCAAATAACATTTTTTCTTAAGATAATATCACTTGGAGTTAAGTAAAAAATATTTAAAAGATAACATAAGATGTTTATAAATGGGTATTTATTAAAACGTTTTACTGGTTACCGCTTAAAACTCAATGTTTATTGAAAATAGTTTTATTGTAAAACTTATAAATACCCAACTATAAAATTTTTGAAATGGTTTAAAAGATGTTTAAGCTTTATATGAACTTCATGTCTTTATAATAAATAAGGAGTTTTTATTAAAAAGACTAAAATCGGTTTATAGCGTTATAACGGCAAATAATAAAACTAGTGACTATTTTTGCATCGAAACTTAATATATAATATTAGTTTTTTAAACATAACGCAACATCTTGATATTATGTTTTATGCATGCCAAATGAGATTTAAAACATAAGTTTCATTACCTAAGTTTTGGTTTATCAAAATATGACTTTTATCATAGGATGCATAAAATTGAGTTTATAAAATAAATTGAGTTTATAAAATAAAATGAGTTTATTCTATAAATTAATGAAGTCATAAGTTTTTTATTGTTAAAAGGAGATTTAAAATAGTGATTTAATAACTCATCCAAAACTCCAAGTCTTAAGTATAAAATAAAGTTTTACTAAGACTGTTACCGGTTCTTAAAACCGATCTACAACTAAACTTTAAAATAATCGGATTTTAGTTTGTAATTGATCGCGGTTAATGGCAATAAAATGAAGTTTTATTTGGCACCAAAAGAACCTCATAACAAGTGATATGAATTTTACAAAAGGGTACATGAATTGTTGGATGCATGCAATATTCATGAGACCATGTTTTTATAAACTATAATTGTAAAACATATATGTAAACCCTTATTTACAAAACTTCAAATCTATGCAATCCATTTAAAATTCACTTGGGATTTTTGTGTAGTTCATATGGATTTTAGAGTCACCTTATTAGTTGAGTTGTTAAAAATAGTCAAGGTGTTTTTGTATTTGCTTATGAGATAAAGGTCACCTAACCATTTGTGAAATAGAACTCACGTGTTTTTTAAATTGATGATTTGATAAATTTCTTATGTGATAAAGGTCGCCTAAGCATAGGAGTTTTGAGGCATAGATGGGATAAACATGTCAAACTAAACGATAGTTGTTTATGTTCTCATAATCTAGGAGTTACATATCGTATACAATTGGTAATCGCTACCTACCGAGTTTGATTAAGTTTATGGGATAAAGGTCGCCTAACCATTTACTTGTTTCGTTACTTAGATCCTAGACTTTAATAAATTAATGTTTTAAGAAACAATATAAGGTATTAATTTTTAAAGACTAAATATTGAAAATACTAAATGAAACTTTGTTCAATTCTGTTGATAACTGTTAATAATTTTACGCCATGCAAATCTCTCTCTCTCTCTCTCTCTTGTTGAGTTTCAAGAGACAGTAACATTTGATGGTTATAATTTCTATAACTGGTATAATATCTTGAGGTTCTACCTTTAAGATAAAAAGAAATTATATATATATATATATATATATATATATATACACTGAAAGGTCTCATACTTGAATAACCACTGCAACCAGTTAGTCTGATCATGATACTTTGATGAAAGTATTATTGTGATGATGTTGATGTGTCTCACATCATACTGAAGAAATTAACCATGACTTGCAGAAAGTCTTGGATAATTATAAAACATATAAGATGTCTCATCAAGTAAAGCAGACATTCAATCAGAACACTAGAAATAGCTTCAAGTCTGTTCAAACATTGAATAAAAAGGAAGTCTAAGAGATTGTGCTCTCATGGACTATATAAAAGTGTCTTATGTATGAGAAATGTGCAAGTTTTGATCTTCTTTCTTCCCTTCTTCTTATCTCTAAAACTGTGACTATGAAGAAGCACCAAACCTTTGAAGTTTGGTGTTTTACTTTGGTGTTTAGAAGACCTCTTGAGTTGTTCCCTTTAGTGCTTATTTAAGTAAAGCACTTAAAGATTTAAGACACTCAAGAATAAAAGAAGGAACTAGCATTCCAAGTGTTTTACTCTTGATGGTGGATAGTTGTAGAGAAGATCATACACTTTGATCTTTTGTTATCTTCATCAACACCTCAAAATCAAGTGGGTTCAAAGGCTTCAAAGGTTATCTCTAAAACATCCTATGGTTGCTTTTATTTCATTCTAACCTCTATAAATGAATCCATGATGATGTGGTTTTGTTATGAACTAAAAATAAACTTGTTATTTTTAAAGTCTTCTGTTGCCGGTTTTTGTGAAAAACAAACTTTTATTTCGTATCAAAACCCAACAGGTTGGCGGTGGCCGGCGGTGATAATGGTGGTGGGTGTTGGTTTTCGTTGGTGGTGGATGGGGGTGGTGGTGATTGGTGACGGTGACGAGTGGCGAGTGGTGGTGTTGGGTGGTAATGGTGGGTGGGGGTGGTGTTGTTTGGGTGGTGAGTGGTGTTGGTTAATGGGTTTTTTTTAGTATTTTTACTTATTTTTTATTTATATTAATATTATTTGATAATTTTAATTAACAAAAATTGTATGGTCCAATTTTTTTCTCAAATGTCCTCACAATAAGAAATGTTCTCGATTGAATGTTCATATATATATATATATATATATATATATATATATATATATATATATATATATATATATATATACACATACACACGTGTGTGTGTCCAAAATTTAATTAAAATACATACTTTTTTCTAATTTTTTTTATCATTATCAACTTAGACCATCTCTAATCCATCTTCATTTTTTCACCTCATAAATGGAGAAAAAAAATAGGATAAATAGTATTTTATCTCCAACCATACTCTATTTTTTATCCAATTTTTTACCCCAAAAATTATATTCCTAGAATATATTCCATTTGTATAACTTATATATATTGTTAAATACACCTTTTACTAATTAGATTTTAACAAATATATATTATATTTTTTTTCATTACAAAAATAATACAAATTATATTATCATAGATAAAATATTTGCATATAATAAATTTAAATTAATTATTACTTTATTATAAATAATTATTAAATAAATATGATGATATTTATAATAAATATATCAAGATCACAAGTATATTTGATTACTATATTTTATAAATTATATTACTGTGTTTAAGTTTTTAATATATATTTAATTTCTTTATATGGATTCGATAAATAAATATTAAACTCTCGGTTTACGATTAATTAATATCAATTAGTATATAACATGATGTTATAAATATTAAATATTGCATTTAAATTATAATTAGTAGATAAAATTAAGCTAAAAATGTATAAAATAAAAATAAAAAAAACTAAAACTGACAACCAAAACTTCAACTCTATTTTTGGAGATATGAATAGTACTCCCCTATATTTGTGGGAATACTATTCATATCTCTAAAAACGAAGATAAAAGTGGGGTAGGGTTGAAGGAGAATAGGAAAAAAAAAAATAAGAAAAAAGATGGAATATGGATTGGGTTGGAGATGCCCTTTGATATCCAAGCACAAAATAAACTTCTTCTTTTTGGATCATTTTGATTTCATCACATCATAATTTTTTTTCTCTTTCCAGGTCAATTAGATTGCTCCAGCAGCCCACGCTTTTAATTTTCTTCAAATAATATTAGAAAAGTCCCTTCAATATAATCCAAGACAGTATAGTGACAGTGTGTGTGTATTGGCATTTCATGAACTTAGTGGCAACGTACGTTTGGTTTATTTTAAGTTAAAAGGACCACTGGAGCAAGAAAACAAAACCACAAAGAAATTCACTCGTAATTAAATGATCAATAGCATACACAGCATCTAATGGCCCACACGCTTCCTGTTCTTTTAAAATTAATTTAATTTGGATAATATGTTGTGACGCTTTCTAATTCGAAGGTGATGTATAAGAATTATTTCGATAAAAGAAGGCACTGAAAATGACTAAACAATCTAATGAAATTTCTATGACAATTCATATAGTATGTTTTTTTATATAAATCATCTTTATACATACAAAGGAGATATATATAGAGCCACTCAATTATAAACAATTCTATATCGATCATATGAGTATATGACATATATCTTCGATTTTTAAGGTTTTATATCACATCTTATGTGCAAAGATTAAACGCGGTTCGATGAAAGTCGACATATATTCTCAAAAGTCATCGAAAGGAAATTGCCATGCAAATTCCTCGTATACCAAACTTCACGCAATCTGTCACTTCCGACACCTTCTGGGAAACTTCATCTCCCACAATTTGCATGCCCATTGATTCCACCCATCAATCAACTGTCATCTTCTTCATCTTCCCCACACTGTGTCTACTCCATCTATATATACATATTCATCCATCTCCATTACATTTTCAGTCATAAAATAATACAAGAAACTTCCTTCTTTACACTCTAATGGAGCCTGCAAAAGTCCCCAAGTCTTTCGGTTGTTTCTCTCAAAAGGGTTTGCTCGTAAGGCTAAGTAGCTTTCGTTCCAAAAGCAACAACACTTCAAACTCCAATTCCCCTACGTTAATGTCTCCTAAACCCTCAAAACGAAACACCAACAACAGACAACAAGATTTCAGGTGGGTTTTCGCTCGTTTTGACACTGACAACGATGGAAAAATTTCAGCTTTAGAGCTTCGATCATACTTCGGGTCCATTGGAGAATACATGTCGCACCAGGAGGCTCAGTGCGTGATTGACGATTTGGATGTTGATGGTGATGGGTTTATTGATTTTGATGATTTTATGAGGCTGATGAAGGTGAAAGATGAGAGAGATGATGTTAAAGCAGCGTTTGAGATGTTTGAGCATGAGAAGGGGTGTGGACAGATTAGTCCGAAGAGTTTGCAGAAGACCCTGAGTCGACTCGGCGAATCGAAAAGTTATGATGAGTGTTTGCAGATGATTAAGGTGTTTGATGTTCATGGTAAAGGAGGTGTTGATTTCAATGAGTTTCAGCAGATGATGATGACATAAATTGTAAATTTAAGTTCTTGTGTCAATAAGCAGACAATATAAATTTCAATCCAAGTTTAAATGTCAATTAAGTTTTAGTTTTTCTAGAACGACTAAAATGCAACTTCAATTCTACTCTTAAACTAATTGAACCTCAACTAATGAAGTTACTTAATTTGATTCTTGTAACTTCCATTTCATGCCGGTAGATTAGTTGCTTGAAAATAAGTTTATGGGAGTTGGATCCGTACACAACAATTTTTCTCCATACACAACAATTGATGCTTTAAAATGTTGTATTGTACAACTATATAATGCATGAATTGTTGTGTATCTTTAAAATAAGTTTAATGTTAATTAATCTTATTGGAATATTGGAATAGTATATATATATATATATATATATATATATATATATATATATATATATATATATATATATTGTATTAAGTTCTTTATTTCTGATGCATATCCTTTCTTTAATAGGGATTTACTTTGTGTATATGGCTTGGAAATCAATGAAAGAAGGTTGATGCATACAACTCCCGCTTTCCTCATGTTCTCATCGTTACCAACATCAAGAATGTCGTTCCTCTTCTCTGTCACACCTCCCAACCGGATGGCGGAATCGTCTGACGGTAGAACGGAACACAGTATCACAATAATTGAATACGTCAAAACACAAGTACATAAACAATCATCATACATTATAATTAGATAAGTTACATGTCTCAAATGTTAATTGTTTCAAATCTAATTACTGTATGAAAACAAAATAAACAAGCTTGACGTCTTCGCGTCGCTTACCAAAATCTTAGTCCCTTCCGACTAATGATTACCTGCGAATACAAGTGGTTTTGAAAGTGTCAAGATCACCTTGGTGAATTCATAAGGTTTTGTAGTGAGAAAACTCAGTATTTCCTTTGTAAAACCAGTACTATGCGTAACAAGAAAAACAATATTTTCTTAAATATATATGTAGTTTTAAAACCATAAAACCATAATATAATAGTAAATTTTTACTTATATCGAGTGTGAAAACGTAGTTTCATATTTACGTAAGACTAAAGAGGATATTATTAAAACAATATATGTTTGTTGTAGTTATTTGTGAGTGATTATAACTCTGCTATCGACTATGTCGTGTTACTGCCCGATGTTCTTCAAGCGTCGTGATATGTTAAAACATTTGTCACCTAGACCCGTCGGTCGTAGCTGTAGCGAACTACTATAGGTGGGGATTGTCAATCCTCTATAGATCTATACACAACTATCCCGCTCATTTCAGATTTGAGTTACAATCCAGGACTTACCCCGGTACTTGTTTAGTACTATGAAGAAAATCTCTCACATAATTATAGTATGTAATAATTATATTTTAATATCATTATTTTCGTATATTTCTCGTTCGTTTCATAAATTATACTTATTATAATTTATATAAGTGTTTTCGTCGTGTTATCATATTTATGCCTAAAAGATGTTTTATATATATATATATATATATATATATATATATATATATATATATATATATATACTAGTAAACTTATTTGGCCCGTGATAATCACGGCCCTAGAGAAATAATTCGGAAGCTAGTTTTAAGTGATTTCAGAAAAACACGATTTATAGTGATAATATAAATTTTGAGTGAAAAATATTTTGTTATTGTTTGTAATTCTATAACGGATGTATGTCCTCAAACTCTTTGATCTTAATGATGTTGTTAATGAGAAAGGTGTTAAGGAACTTGTGGTGCAGATTATCTATCAATTGTGTGAATTTAGAACAATGATGACTTTTTGTGATTATCGATAACTTTTGACTTCTTAAGTAATTCTTGATTACTTCTCTCAAAAAACCATGTGGGACTTAACAATTTAGTCTTTTTAGCAGACCATATTACATCTATTTTGCTATACAATTTTTTATTTTTGTCGGCAAGACTCTATCTCAACTATTTTGCTATACAATTTTTTTATTTTTGCCGCTGATCAGTTTTATTTTGACAAATTAGTATGTCGATACAAGTTAGGGCTAACCCACTTAGCTAACAAGGTGTCTAATATGGAGGTACTGAATTCCAAATTCCATACATATACTAACTCGTTGTTCTAAAAAAATATGTTGATGTGTTGGATTGAATATAAAAGTAGGGTTAAAATAAACATGTTTTGGGTTTAGAAAAAGAATTTGTCGTTTGGTTTAACAAAGTACGTTGTTATTTTTGGGTTATAAAAAGTACGTTGCCATTTTCTAGGTTAACAAAAGTACGTTGCCATTGTCTTAATGTTTTGGGTTTAAAAAAAAGTAAGTTGTCGTTTTTTGTTAAAAAAAAGTACGTTGTCATTGTTTTAGGTTAACACATACATTGTTTTTGGTTCGTAAAATATGTAATACATGTGAAATCCATTTTAGTAAATCTTGTTTAGTTATTTGGACCCTACGTATATTAAAAAAAGTATATTGGCTTTTTTCCTTTTTAAAGATTTGAGTTATGCACAAATTTTTGTTTTTACTTTTTTGGTAAGATATGTATGTTGTTTTGAGTTAAAAATAAATATATTGTTTTTGGTTAAAATAAAATGCGTTGCACTTTTGTAAGATAACCTTTTTTTCCCTTTAAATCATAATAAGTTTTATAATTTGCGATTTTATGTTAAAAGATTGTATATTACTGGTTTTGGCAAGTACATTTATGTTAAAAGATTGTATATTACTGGTTTTGGCAAGTACATTTATGTTAAAAGATTGTATATTACTGGTTTTGGCAAGTACATGTATGTCCAAAATGAGAAAATGAGAAAATACACATAAACTTCCTAATTTTATTTATGATATAATAGTAATATGACTTTGATTTCATTTATACACGAGAGACACATAAAAGTTTTTGAGCATTTACCATTGGCAAGATCTAGCCATTACACCCTAACTTATTAAAGGAGAAAAGAAGAGAATAGCCAGGACGTAAATCCTGGAAATACATTGTTCATATTTAAATAATCGACATGCAGAGCATGATTAAGCAGGTAAATCGATACAACGATGCACTTTCAATAATTGAGATGCAAGCAAATCAAATGCAAGTGAAAAAGAAGTCACCAAAACCAACAAAGAATGCCCAGCTTGACGTCAAACATGTAACTTTGAAGATACCCACATTTCAGAATCATGGCTCAAAGACTTATCTTACATGATCTTTCCACTCGCAACGTAATTATTCACCTTGGTTAGCATCTCAGCAGCCCCACCAAAGTCCTATTGCGATAAAAAAAAAGGAACCCAATAAGAAAAACCTAAAGCTATCTTAGAGAATAAAGAAAAAATATGGATTGCATCATTGGAATAAAGAGTGAATTACTGCAAGATTAACATTTTTTACTATTTTACCAATTACAATTGAAACAAAACTATAATAGTCGATTATCTCTCAATTGGTGAGAATACTTCTTGCTTGACCTCTTTCCTGAATAACACAAACGGTGAGATCTGTGACATAAGGGCTTGGCATTTTTTTTCATTACCAAAGGGCATTTAGAATATTTTATCATTACAAACATGCCAGGGGTATGCAATAGATGAAATCTCACAATCTTTACTTTTCAATTTAGACTTTGCAATATTCGGGAATTTGGAATACAGTCTTGATCCCATGTGGGCAAGACTAAATAATAGAAACCTAAAAAATCCATTTTTATCAAAATCCATCAACATTTTTACAATAAAAGATTCAATTTATAGTAAAAAACTATTTACTTCCAGCTTTAGATTCAGTAACATGATATCCTACCATTGTAATATGATTTGTGAATATGTTATTTACACATAAAGGTCGAGAATACATCCAGTAACATGTATTTGGGCTTGATTCAATGAAAGCAAAATAAGATAATTAATTCCTGGTTCCAAACATATTAAAAAAACTAAATCAAAAAATAGCAATGTATAATGGTAGTTCCATAGGTAAAATTGACAAAAAGGTCATTATTAAATATGTGTAAAATCTAGGTAGAACAGTATACTATTCATTAATGCATAGTCTAAAATCCTCTAGCATGATTTACAACTGTTTATTCATGCATCTTTATATTTTCAAATGGGTTTTTAGCAGTTTTTTTCGTTTGTTGCATATCCTTCGAAGAACAAATAAGTCATTTTGTTTTAGCAATGGAAGGTATGTGTTAATTTTTTTTTCATTCCAATGGAATGAACAATTCCATTCCTTCCTCAGTTCCATCATACCAGACACTAAGTTGAATTGCTTTTTCTAGGATTGGTAACTTTTTCTTTGCAGGCATATGTTGAAGCAAACAACATAATAAGAAACGATTTATAAAAATTTTACGACAGAAAAATTAGAGATGTACCAACCATATGCTTCTTGGACACCAGTTGTTCTTGAATCACTATGTTTCTAGATATGGGAGAAGAATAAACCACTGATACAAAAAGAAAAGAGTTTCATAATATTATTTATATCTATAAAAATGGATGTTTTATGCAATTATGCTTACCACCATAAGTGAATCCAGATATATGTGGGGAAGTTGCAGAAACTCGAGATCAACTATAAAAAAAAGTAAGCAATAGGGCTTAGAAAAAGAAAAAAGAATGTACAGAGACAGAGAGACACAACACTTTAACAACAGTTGGCAAAGATGCGTATGATGGAAGAGGCGAACATTCACAAAACATAGATAAAATGCATACATCTATGGTTTAATAGACACAAAAGTCTTTCTCTCAATATGAAAACCAAACTTTGTACTATGCCCTTTAACTTAAAAATCAAAAATAAATATAGAAGTCAAAATAGAAAAATAAAGAAACTAATTTAGCATCTACTGTAAGCAATAGCAGATTTCAACAACGTTATTTTCTCTTGATTACATCACAAGGGTAAAGTTGAGTTCCTCTTTTTGATTAATCACAACCAAATCTCTTCTATTATGATAATATCAGCACCAAACTTTCTAGTAGCGACTTTCTATCTTAGCATGAAAAGAAAATTACCATTTACAATAATTTGACATGACAATGGTTTCAAGCATATCAATAATAAATCATGCAAAAAATTAGGAAAAAAATCACCTTAATTTGGACTTCCATGGCATCAATTTTGACAAGCCGCACCCAATACCGTAGGATTGATTCCGTTAAACCACCAAAACCAAAAAATTAGAACAATAACTATCAAACAATCAGCATATCAGTCGATTACGGTTTTTCATTTTAAAATCCAAACATGATCAGTAACGTAAAAGGGAACTTATGGAGAAAGAAGACATCAGTTTAGGGCTCAAATAAGCACTGAAAGCCAAATTAAACATAATCAAATATTAGAAAACCTAAACATACCCTTAATTCAATTAAAAAAAAGTTAAAGAAAGAATGCAGCCTGGGAAAGTATCGATTTAAGGAGACAACAGAGAAATAGAGATATGTCAGAGCAGTGTTGATGATGAAGGACGTTGATGGAAGAGGGTTGTGTAACCATAGATAGACAAGGAGTCTCAATTCAGACCATCAA